CTTTCCCTCGCCTGCAGAAGTCTACCTGTTCAGGAGTCTCCCTTCTACGTGGTCTTCCTTAACCACCAATTTAATGTACTGAACTCAGTGAACTTAACACCTTTATATCATTTTTGCCTCAGTTTACCTATCTAGGTTGATATATCAAAAAGTAGTAAAAGGGAAGGTTTATCTGAACTCTGGTTCCCCAGTAGTGACCCTGACGAGATTTGAGAGCAAGTGATTTCCTAAGGAAGTGCTCCCAGGAGAGGGAGGGAGGGAGGGAAGAAAGTCCCAGACTCAGCCTGATCCCTGGTTGCTCTGGGGGATGAATGAAGCCTCAGAGCCTGACTGGCCTCCGGGCATCGAAGGCCAGGGAACTAGGCTTCCATACTCCCACACTCATGAGTCAATCGTTGACTCCAGGCTGCCTGGGGAGGAAGTGAACTCCTAGACACTTCCACTCTCAGTGTAGTAGGGTGAAGGGGCTATACAGGCTGAGGGTCAGTGCTCTGAGGCAAGTTGTAAGGTGTCGACCTTCAGGAGCAAAGCCCATAGGAGCCAGGTGAAGGGCACACAGAACCTACACAAGAGATGTGAGGGGGTCAGGGCAGACCACCACCATGTCTGCTGCAAGGTCAAGGTAGGGCTGGCTTCATGGGCATGTGACCAGTGCATTTGCACAGGATCCTGCCGTCAGGAGGGACCCACACTTGGGGTTTAATGCTCTGCAGTCACCATCTTGAAATTCTCGGTAATTTTACCTTTGACTTTGGGTTTTGTCAGTGAAGTCCGATGGGACAGTAGAGCACGCGCTGGGCCCTTGGAGCCTCCATTCATGTGCAGCTCCCTCCCACCACCTACCACCTACCACCTCCCTGGGACCAGTTCTCAGCCCCTGGCCCAGTTGCTCCTGGTGCCCAGGGCCCACTTGTCTTTCCCCAGTTGCCACCCTCTGCTTAGGCAGTGACTGTTCTGTGGGCTTGGGGGGGGGGGGGCCAGTGTTCTGCCACTGCTGTCCACCCCTGCGGGGGGAGGGAGGGGTACAGGGGTAAGTTTGGGGAGCCACATAATTTTGAAGTTAGCTACACACTGCCTAGTAACTCCAGTCTATTACTTCTCTATTAATAGCTCTTTTTTATTCTTCAGTTTTTTACGTGGTCATGCCTTGCTTCCCACATTGCCAGACTCGTTAGATTTTGTTTCTTTCACTTCCCCACAAAAACTGGCATAGCACTTAGAACAGAGTAGGTGCTTCATAGGTATTTTCAATGGATTAATATAAAATTGGTATTCAATTAAAATTGTCTGGGAGACTCCCCTGGTGGTGCAGTGGTTAAGAATCTGCCTGCCAATGAAGGAACACAGGTTCGATCCCTGGTCCAGGAAGATCCTGCACGTCACAGAGCAACTAAGCCCGTCCGCCTCAACTACTGAACCCGCGTGCCGCAACTACTGAGCCCACGTGCCGCCACTACTGAAGCCCGTGCACTTAGAGCCCGTGCTCCACAACAAGAGAAGCCATGGCAATGAGAAGCCCGCACGCCGCAACGAAGAGTAGCCCCGCTCGCTGCAACTAGAGAAAAGCCCGCGCACAGCAACGAAGACCCAACGTGGCCAAAAATAAATAAATAAAAATAAAATTGGCTGGGAGGTTCCAGTTCAGGATGGTGACAAAGGTAGATCCTGAGTGCACCTGGTCCTCCACACTAAGTCTACAGCTACCTATGGAACATTTTCCTCTGGAGAAAACCTAAAGGCTGGCTGAGCACATGGGACAAATGAGAGAAAAAAAAAAAACTGCATCGAAGCAGATAGGATAGGGTGAGATACAATCTCACTGTAAACCCCAGCCCCAGTTCTGAGACCCAGAGTCAGTAGGGAACTTAAAACCCAGAGCTTCTCCTTAAGGAGCAAAGAGTTTGAGCCCCACATCAGGCACCCCAACTCTTAACACCTGCACCTAAGAGACAATCCTCCACAACGTCTAGCTGCGAAAACCAAAGGGGCTCGTGTCCACAAGACCCAAAAGGCTGTAATGACCTGAGAAAAGAGTTCACACACTGGGACTCACCCAGCTCGGGGCCCAGATCAGAGGAAGCCTCTGGTGCCCAGACTTCAAGTGAAAGAGGCTCATTTGCTTACAATAAAGCATTGGCCTGAGGGGCAGGCATCTAATCTAACACACACATCCAGGAACCTGCTGGGACACCCTCCAGAAGGAAGACTGGCAGCCGTGACGTTCTCTCTCTGCAAACTCCAGAGGGTCAGTATCTCCCAGAAGGGAGCTTGTATACCATCCGGTGCCCTGGTTTTTAGAGCTGCCACCCAAGGGACACCCTTGATTGCCTGGCTCTGGAGCCCAGCTCCTGGGTCCCATGGGACCGAAACAGTCGAAGAGACAGTCCTTGGCAGCCTATCACCCCCAGGGCACTACACAGACAGCAGACTGAAATACCGCCAGTCTCTCTGAGAAAGAGATCTGTTTGCTTGTCCAGGAGATTTGGCCTGGGGAGAAGGCTTCCAGCACGCTTACAGGGGTCAACAGAGGGGCTCTCAGGGAATGGAGGTTCGTGGACACAATCTTTCCCCTCACCTTCTGCTTTGCCACAGCTCACCAGTATATCCCAGAAAGGACCTTATACCCTTGTCTTAGAGTATCTAATAATTACTTTGAACTCCCAAAAAGAGTGACCTTTCTCAAACTTAAAACCATTATGTAGTTCCCCATCATCTACGGGGACTTTAGTCCAAGTTTTTCAACACAGCATCAGAGCTTTGGAATGATCTGGTTTCCGCCTGCCTCTATAATACCACCTACCTCTGCCTGCCTCAAACACCTCAGCCCCTGCCCCACACACTTCATGTGTCATCTACTTACCCACTTGCCTGTTCCTTCCCCAAATCATCACAACCTCTTCCTTGAATGTTTTTCTTCCTATTCCTTACTCCTTCCCATTCAGCCTGTCAAATATCTACTCACTTGATTTCCTTATACAGTTATCATCCTCTCTGAACCCTTTCTTGGCTTACTACAAAGCTTAGCAGAATTGCCTACTACCTTTAGTTCCCTAAACACAAGCTTCCAGCACTGCATCTACAATTCTTCGTGACATTCATTTGCCCATATTCCCTACTAGCTTGTGTGATGTGATCCTTAGAATAAACACTCTGTATTATTCACCTTAATATTCCCAGCGTCAAGCACAGTTCTTGCATAAAATAAACACAATGAAGGCTTATTGGAGGTTCTTGGTAAATATAACTTGCTTGATGGCCTAAATCCGATGGAGAGCATGTGGTTTTATATGAGCAAAGTCTACCAGGAGATAGAAAATAGGTGAGAGAGACATCTTAAGGCAAAGTAAGTCCATGAATGTGTTCAACAGTCACGAGGCTTCAGCAAGCCGAACATTTTCCTGGAGCTCCACCCTCTAAATTCCAAGGCATTTTGTAGAGCCCATGAATGCTAGGTAGATTTTTTTGAGAAGTAGAAAGCTCTCTCTTACCTGCGTTCCAGTTCTCGAATGGACAGTATCACTCCTGAACTGGATGGCTTCTGCTGTACAGTGGCCAGAAAGGTGAATTCGCTCTTATTCCGGAACAGCTGAACTAATTTGTCACTCACATGAGGGGCTGCGTGGATCTCTCTTTCTATATCTAGGAGTCAAGAAGGAACAGAAGGGAGAAAGAAGAGGAAATGGAGAAGGAGAGAAAGGAAAGAAGAAATACAGACGGGAAAAGAGGAGAGGGAATAGGAGAAGGAAAAGGAGAAAGGATGCACGGTTAAAAATGCCTTGTCAGAGGGTCCACGGTACATTCTCCCTTTTCCCCTCTTGTCAGTAGTTTTCCGTTTTCAGGCGCCACCCACCACTCCACACGGCTGCACGCATTCCAGGCAAGGCCTGGAAATGCCATCTCAGCCACCGTGCCTGCTTGTCACTTTGACAAGTTCACAATTGGCCAGCCGGTGATTTTCTGACAGGAATTGTGATGGGACACGGAGCAATCTGGCCTGCTGCAAACAGATTAAGCTGCTGAAAATAAGGTGAGAGGCAGTCTGATAAATGGGGTCCAAAATTCAGAGAATCCTGAGTCTAACAGGATCCAGTGCCACTCAGCAGTCTCTAATTTCCCTTTTCCCGTGGCCTCAGCTTCTTTCTCTCCACAATGCATCTAGGGAAACCTGTCCTTGCCTTGTACCCAGAAGAGATTTACTAGAGCTAATAATGCCAGACAACTCTGCTTTTGCTTAAAGGATAAATACAAGGCATGCTCATAATCCATCAGCGTGCCTGGAATTCCTCTGTAAACATTCAGTGGATGACTGTCCTCACGAAATGTTTATTAAAGTTGAGGCCAATTCAGCAGGCCTAGAGGTGTGCGAGTCCAGCTAATCCTGCTACTGGACAGAAATCTTTCTTTCTGCAACATCCGCATAATGAGAGGCATCCCTCATTTCAGGCTCACCCTTGTCATGATAAACTGGGCATTACATCACTATTTTACACTATACTTTCTGGCAGCAGAAAGTGGGCACCAAGGGAGCTGAATTAGAGAAAACTATTCAGAGGATGACAAATGAACACCAAAGACGTGTTTGGTGGCCTTCTCTCATGCCCTCACCACGTCCTCTGACAGTATGGTAACTACTTGGGTATTTCTCCAGGACTGCCCGAGGAAGCTTTGAAAAACATAGAACTGCATTATCTACAATAGCCAAGATACGGAAACAACCTAAGTGTCCACTGACAGAAGAATGGATAAAGAAGCTGTGGTATATATATACACCATGGAATCCTACTCAGCCATAAAAAAGAATGAGATATTGCCATTTGCAGCAACACAGACGGACTTGCAGGGAATTATGCTAAATTAAAATAAGTCAGACAAAGACAATGTATGATATCACTTATATGTGGAATCTAAAAAAAACAACCAACTAGTGAATATAACCAAAAAGAAGCAGACTCACAGATACAGAGAACTAGTGGTTACAAGTGGGGAGTCCATAGGGGTGGGGCAGTGGGAGGTACAAGCTATTGAGCGTAAGACAGGCTCAAGGATGTATTGTACAACACAGAGACTATAGCCAATATTTTGTAATAACTGTAAATGGAAAGTAACCTTTAAAAATTGTATAAAAAAATTTTAAAAAGAAAAACATAGAACTCCAAAGGCTGCATGGCCCAAGCAACATCACAGACTTGTATTCAGACCTTGAAGAACCTCATCCTGAAGGGTGGTTTTTAACAAAAAGAAATCCTTGAATTCTTGACCTCAGGCCTCAGTCTTCTCATCTGCAAAATGAGGGGGTTGGACTAGGTGATTTCTCAGGGCCTCCCCAGCTTTATCTCCTATAATTCTGTACACTGCTGTTTCAAGTTTGCAGCACAGAACACCAGTCTTCCAGCTGTTCAAGTCTAGGCTCTGCACAGTGGGAAGCAAGGTTGGTCCTCTTCCAAGGAGGGACCCAACCCAAGAACACTGTACCCACAGAAAACCTACCTCAATGACATTTGCCTTTCTGCCCAAAGAAAGGCTTTCACTACTTTACTACTAAGTGTCGTGCCGTCAGCTTTTGTCCAGGGCTGAGATAAGAGACAGCCACTTAGGGAATGCTTTTATGCCTTCTACAGAATCCTAGCCGAAGACTCTCCAGGATGCTATTCAAAACCAATTAAATGTATGAACAAATCACTTTGTAAACTAGAGATCATTAGCCAATGTTTGTTAATGTTATTTTTATTACTACTACTACTGGGCAAAGAGCCTCATAATATATTTCACCTAGAATTTAGTGCCAGGAAAAAAAACACTTGGTTCTTGAGATTAACTTTGTCGTTTACTTTTTTTTCCTGTTTGCTACTTTACCCATCAATTAGGAATCAACTGATTGTCGGTGGCTGCCCAGGGAGCTCATTCGAGGATTCTGAAGTTTAGGCCCAATGCAAAGAGGGCCATGATTGATCAGCAATGCCTACTAGGGGAGTTAATATCAGATCAGTTATGGGTATCCTCACCTCTCATTCAATTCTCCCTGGGGGAATATCATCAAGCCAGAGGGCCAATGACCCCCAAACTTATATCTGCAACCTCAACCTCTCCCTTAAGTAACAGACTCATAGATGCAGTATCCTTCTGACTATCTGCATATTCAGTATCTGAATATCTAACACCAAGTTGTATTCGCCCACTGAGCTCTTGTTCTCTCCCCCAACCCTCTCTCATCTCCTAGAGTTCCCAGTCTTAGCAAATGGAACCACCCACTTCCTCAGGCCAAAAAACCAGAAATTGTCCTCAATTTTTTCTTTTCCTACACGCTCCATATTCAATGCGAGAGCATGTCATGAGGGCTCCCATGTCTGGCATCTGTCCATTTCTTCCCAGCTCTACTCTTCAAACTCCTGTCCCAGCTGCCATCATCTCTCCAACTGCATCCTCACTGGTCTCCGTGTTACCTTCCCTTCTCCATCCTCCACACAGCAGCCCAAGTGCCCTTCTTAAGGCAGAAATCAGGATCATTTTCATCTCTTGCCTAAAACCCTCCAGTGGCTTCCCATCGCTCCCAGGATAAAATCAGGCTCTTCCGCATGGCCTGCACAGTCACACACAAATTGCCTCTTGCCCACCTCTGCCTTCTCCTCCAGCTCTCACTGCAAATGCAACCTCCTGGTCACTCCCTCCAACAGGGCCCCCATTAATGCCTAAAATGCCACTTTGGTGACTTCCTTCATACCACTTATCATAGTGTATGTATTGTGGACAATTATTTCCTTGTATCGCTTATCATAACCTTGTTTCATGTTCCTTACCTTATTTCCTTTCCTTCCCCACTAGGATGAAATAGCTCGACCTAGTCAATTTTCAAGAAACACTAAAACTGCTGATGTGATGAGGAAGCATCAGTAGAAACGTGTTAGGTGAAGGGAGGAGGCTGAAGAACGGAGGAAATTAAACGAGGGTGTTCACAAGCTCTTCTCTGCCTAATGGAGAAGAAACGTCATTTCCATTTTCCCTGACTTACAGGGTGAGGAGGGTGGTGATTTTCAATGTCAACAAACATACACCTGTGTTGACGCTGTGCCAGGTATCGGCAAAAAGGTAAAAACCGTTTCTGGCATCCAGGACAGCTATATAAGCAAGACAGTTACTTGGTGAAAACAGAGTAGGGCAATGCATAAAAGAAGGAAGGAAGGGACCCGGGGAGGCTGGGGATGACATCGTACAGGACGTAACTTTGAGCCTGAGTCAAAAAAGATGAATAAGCATTTACTAGACAGGAGAAAAAGAGAGAAGAGGACATTCCTTGCAGGATCGCTGTGAGGCTATGAACACCCAGGTGTTTTCCATTATCCTGGCATTTTTCTTTCTCTGCAAGCCTCTGTCACTAAAAGTCCAGCAGGAAAGCATCTACTCAACCTAACATTGGAGGGAACTCTCCACTGATCGGTGAGTTGAGAGAGCAAAGACAGCAGCAACCAGAAACAGGACAAAACAAACACACCGGGGCAGCTTGCCTCAGTCTTGAGTGATGGTGAATTCAGGCGACGTCTCCGTAATCACAGCACGTGTACACTAAGAACCTCGACACGTGGCAGAACCTCGATACAGACATAGCACCTCCTTCTAGCCTGAGTCCCACATAAGCTTGTGGTTAAGATTGGCCCCGAAAGATAAAGCAACACTTGCTAATTTGAAATGACAATTGGCTTTTCATTTCTAAGTAGAGAGGAAATTTGCCATTTCAGAACTGCCAACTTGGGTTTCCCTGGTGGTGCAGTGGTTGAGAGTCCGCCTGCCGATGCAGGGGACACGGTTCGTGCCCCGGTCCGGGAAGATCCCACATGCCGCGGAGCGGCTGGGCCCGTGAGCCGTGGCCGCTGAGCCTGCGCGTCCGGAGCCTGTGCTCCACAACGGGAGAGGCCACAGCAGTGAGAGGCCCGTGTACCGCA